CATACAGTGTGTTACTGTCTCAGTGTGAATAATAATCACAAAAATCTTAAAATGCAGGCATTTTTATTATTCCTACTTTTTGTCATTTTATTGTATATGTATGTGGGTGTTTTGCCTGCACATTTATCTGTGCACCTCGTGTGTGCAGTGCTCATAGAGGCCAGAAGAGGGCATCCAATAGCCTAGAATTGCAGTTATTGATGGTTGTGAGCTGTCATGTGGGTGCTGGGAATTGAACCTAGGGACTCCGGAAAAGCAGCCAATGCTCTTAGCCACCAAGCCATCTCTCCAGCCCCTTTATTTATTTCTCTTTTGAGGTCTAGAGAGGAGAAATAATGAACATTCCTGTGCTGGATAGTTTAATGTCAACTTGACACACGCTAAAGTCATCTGAGAGGAAGGAACCTCAATTAAGAAAATTCCTGCATAAGATCAGGCTGCAGGCAAGCCTGTAGGGCAGTTTCTTAATTAGTGATTGATAGGTGAGGGCCTAGCCCATTGTGAGTAGTGTTATCCCTAGGCTTATGGTCCTGGGTTCTATAAGAAAACAGAGTGAGTAAGCCAGTAAGCAGCACCCTCCATGGCCTCTGCATCAGCCCCTGCCTCCAGGTTCCTGTTCCTCTTGAGCTCCTGGCCTGACTTCCTCCAATGATCTAGAAGTATAAGCCAAGCAAACCTTTTTATCCACAACTTGCTTTTGGTCATGATGTTTCATGGCAGCAATAGAAACCCTAACTAAGGCAACTACCTGGTTCTAATATAAGCTGGCCTTCTTAGTTTCTAATCACCTGTTCTTCTCATGGAACTGACTTTGAAGGTGAAGGACAAAACAGTAGAACATGGGAAAAGGCACAGGGTGTTTTCATGGTCAGATGCTGGATACCTACATTCAACTACCTATTAAGTCCCAATTATGCGCCAAGATTTTTCCTACATGCTGTAAGACTGCATGCAGGGGTTACAAATTGGAGAGAATAAATATATCTTTATATGACATAGAATGTAGTTCTCTGTGGGTGTGATAGGCTCCAAATACAACATTTGGGAATCTGTGTTCTTCCACATGTTAAACATCTAACTGGATCTCTGATGAAATGTTACTAACAGACGCTGTAAGGCTTGAAATCCAGGGCTCACTGTTCACCATCTATACAGAGGAAAGGAATGTTATATAGCAGAAGAGACAGGGTCCTGCCCTGGGGTTGCCATGAACCTTGAACCATCTGGACTACAGTGTAAAAAACAACAACAAAACAGATAGCCTGCATTGGACCACCTCTGAAGTCCAGCTCTTACACTATATGCAGAGCCTGAATGGGACCCAAGTTTCTCAGGCCCATGCTCAAACTGGAAGCAGCAACACCAGGGAAACTCCAAAGAGCTGCATCTGATGCAGCAGGAGCAATTGAGCGAAATTTCTGCTGTCGATGTCTTTTTGAGAGGCACCCAAGGAACATTCTAGATTTGTTCTGGCTTCCAGCTTCTACCCAGCTGGGTTGTAGGTGAGTGGAACTTCTACTGGGAAAGCTGTACAAAATGGCCACCAGGGATAACACAGGACCAATGGGGACAAGATCTTCTTTGACAACTTGGTGATATCTGGGTGGGATGCTACAGTGGCCTTCCAAGGTCAGCACAGTGAAGGAAAATATAGCTTCCTCTTCCATAAAGTCCCATTGGGATTCTTGCCAGACTTAGGGTCCAGCTGGGCCTCAAGAAGAATCAGGCAGGATTTATCACTATTAATAATAACTGGCACATGATTGTGTGCAGAACTGAAACTCAGATGGCCAATGGCAAGTTTTGTTAAACAAAACAAGGGAAGAGTTTGGGTGTAGGAAAGAGGTATCAGAGAGAGAGAGAGAGAGAGAGAGAGAGAGAGCAAGAGATGAA